TTAATGCAGTTTAACTCACACACCCTGTGCTATTTTGTTATGACAGACTAGCAACTGAATGTAAGCGATGATGCCAGACATCTTCCCATGTGCTGATTTGCCGTCTGTATACCCTCATGGGTGAAGTTCATGTCCTTTGCCCGTTTCCTAACTGATTTTCATATCTACTTTTCCTTTTCTTGTTGGTTTTCGCTGTTGCATTTTGAGGACTCTATGATCTAGATGCCATCTTTGTCCTTTGCCACATGTAAATAACTTTCTGACACTCCATGGCTTGTCTTTTCTCTTCCTCAAAGGATCTTTAACAGAACAGGAGTTGTTATTTTAATGAGATCCAGTTTATCCAGTTTTCTTTTGTCCTATCATAAATTTGGTATTGTGTTGGCATTCTGCCTGCTTGTGGAATCTCAAAGATTTTCTGTTTTTGCATTGGCCTATGATGCATTTAAAAAACGCATGTATTTATTGTTCATATGTGACATGTATTTATTGCATTGTGTATGTGCAGGTACACACATGCCATCACACACATGTGTAGGTCAGAGGACATATTGTGGCCCTCCTTTTGCACTGTGTAGGTGTGGGGAATTGAACTCAGGTCATCGCATAAAATACCTTTACCTGCTAAGCCATCTCACCAGCCCTATGATCCATTTTGAGGTTTTGGTTTTGATTTTATTTTGTTATTTGAATATATTTATTTTGTTTTATTTGTGTGTGCACGTGTGTAGGGAGTAAGTGAGGTCCTGAGTAAATGTGTATTGTTTGGCATGAGCATGGGCATGTCAAAGACCCCAATACTTCAGACCCATGGAGTAGAAAAGCCTTCCCCAAGTGGGATTCAGAGGGATGGCAAAGCCTTCTTCTGGCCTATGTGTGGATGTTAACAGTGTGCACAGAAAAAGTCCACTGTAGCTTTCTCCCACCCTTCAGTGTTTACGGCCTGAAGAACGCTCCCTAATAAACCCATGTCCTTGTGCAATGGTGTGCAATAACCCACCTCCCTGCTCAACTGCATAAAATAAACAGGCTGCACTTTGGGGGGAGGGGTGCCGTGACGTTGCCATTGGAGAGCTCAGTCTACCAGTTCTGGGCTTTCGTGGAATGTGTCTGTCTTTTCTTCATTCCCTTATTGCCCCTGGATGAAATTCTGAAAACCAAGCTGTGGAATCATTTGACATGTGTATGCTCTGTTTTCATTGTTAGGCTTTTTATGATTTTTTAACCTTAAATTGTCTTTTAAAATCAGAGGAAAAATTATGTCATGGTTTTTTCTAAAGCATTTCTGCATTGTGGAGTAACCAAATCTCTACAGTTAAGGTACACATTACCTTTACGTAGTTATAATTTTTTGTGCTGAGAACATTTAGTGTTCTGTCCCTTGCCTTGTTAAGAGACAGAGTATGTAGCTTGCTATATAGCCCTAGCTGGCCTGGAATTCACAAGCTATCTCATTATGCTGTAAAATTATAGCAGTTCTCCTGTCTCAGTCTCTCAAGTACTAGAATCACATAGTGGCATGCGCCATCATGCCTGGCTCTGTCAGCATCTTTCTTTTTTGTCAGCATATTTCAAAACTACAACATATTGTCCATAACCATAGTCGCCGTACTGTACAATAGGTGCCTTGAACTCACTTGTCAGGAACCTCCTTTTTTTGCTTTCTAGCCGCTGCCCTAAATAACCGTCATCCTATTTCTGTGAGGTAAGTTTCAGGAAATGAAATCTGTATGTTGACAGATATTGATACTCCTACGGTCCTTCTAGCACTGTGCACAATAACGTAAATTGAACAAACGGCAGATGAATGGATAAAGAGAAGGTGGTGTGCATGGCCGATGAATAGTGTTCAGCCTCTAAATGGAAAGCAGCACTGGCATTTGTGATGGATGACTGGAGGGTACCATCTTAAGTGGAGCCACCCACGGAGAGACAAATGGCACATGATACCACTTATATGTGGAATCTGAAAGAGTTGATTCATTTTGAATTTCTTAATAAAATATGAGGTGAAATTTGAGCTTCGTGTCTTCTGCCTCTGCCTGTGCAATTGCTCCAGCAGCATTTTCTCTGACAAAATCTTTCCCATAGAATTGCTTTTGTGCTTTTGACAAAATTCAATTTGCTACATGTGTGTGGGTGTATTCGCTTTCATTTTTAAAAGACATTTCTGCTGGGTAGAAACTCCTAGATTGCTTTTTTTGTTCTTGTTTTGTTTCCAGGACTTCAATAAGATTGTCCCATTGTCTTTGGCTTTTATTGACTCCATGCAGCTGTCAGTTCCATTGTGGTGCTTTTGAGGCTAATTTATATGCTTTCTTGCCCTCTAGCTGGCTAAGCCGTTGACTTAAAGCCAAACAGACCAATGTGAGCCTTCTGAGGAGCATTTGAAAAACAAGTGAATATAAATTGAAATCTCGCAAATATGCACTCATAGATAGTGTTTGTGTATTTTAAATGGTTACTTTTAGCCTGCCTCTGTCCTTTTTAAAGCATTTATTACTTATGAATTAATGACAGGGTCTCTCTCACTTTGGAAATAAGGCTGGCCTCAAACTCACAGACTTCCTGCCTCTACTACCAGAGTTCTGGATCATGGTTTAAATCACCACACCAGCTTTCTTTAACTCTTATTTTTAAACAGTGTGTGTGTGTGTGTGTGTGTGTGTATGTGTGTGTGTGTGTGCGCGCATGCCACCTGTGTGGATCCTCACAGAGGTCATAGGACCCCCTGGATCTAGAAATATAAATATCTGTGAGCCCCCGATGTGAATGATGGGAAGTGAGCATGGGTCCTCTACAGGAGCAAGAAGGATTTTCAACCACTGAGCCATCTCTCCAGCCCTTATTTCTCTCTTTTTAATTCTATTGGCTTATCTCTCAGTTACAGTGTTGTCAGCTGGATGTGGTCTTTTTTATTCAATAAAAATGGATTTTCTCGAGAAATGTCTAGAACCTCAATCTTCCTAATGCTGCGACCCTTTAATATAGTTTATTCATTGTTAGTGACTCCCAGCAATACAATTATTTTCGTTGCTACTTCATAACTGTAATTTTCTACTGTTATGAATCATAATGTAAACATTTTTTGGAGATAGAGGTTTGTCAAAGAGATTGGAACACACAGGTTGAGAATTAGTGGTCTAGATGGAAGGCTACAAGTTCAAATCCATCCTGGGTTACTTAATGAGCTTCAGGTTAGCTTAGGATATAACAAAGTTCTCTCAAAACAAACAAACATGGCCAGCCAGTGATGGCACCTACCCTTAACCTCAGCACTTGGGAAGCAGAGGCAGGCGGATCTCTGTGAGTTCGAGGCCAGCCTGGTCTACAAAGTGAGTTCCAGGACAGGCATGAATGTTGCACAGAGAAACCCTGTCTCAAAAAACAAAAAACATGCTAAGGGAAAAGACAGAAAAGATGGCAAGTATTCTACACACACACACACACACACACACACACACACACACCACACACACCACACACCGGCGCACGACTGATGACTCATTTGAAAGACCATGATGCTGAATTTCTTTGCACAATCCTTATTAAAGGATTAGTTTTGGCCTGAAGAAATAGCATAGCAGGTAATGACAACTACTGCTGAGCATGACAACCTAGCTTGATCCCTGAGACATGCATGGAGAGTAGAGAGAACCAGCTCCCACAAGTTGTCCATGAACACTGTGGCAAGCACGTGTTCACAAACATTCATATACACAAAACAAATAAACAAACACAGAGATGTTAGCTTTCACAGTTTTCCAACTGGGCTATAACATATAACCAGGCACACAGCTCTCAGGCCCTCACCAACCCCCTCCAAAATAAAACAAAAAAATGAGGTTAATGGACTAAAGACTGTCCCTGTTTAAGATGTGAGGATACTAAATCATTTGTCCAGTATATTATTGCTGATGTGACAGAAGTTGAACCAGTACCTAAGTTAGGGTCTCCTGATAGCCTGTGTTCCTTCCTTTCCATTGATTTATTCTCATCTCTGAAATAATAAATATTAGTGGAACTACTACATTTATAAAGAGTAACCTTTAGCCAGGCATAATGATGCAAACTTAAAATCTCTACACTCTGGAGGTACACTAGTTAGGGTTTCTGTTGCTGTGAAGAGACACCACGATCATGGCAACTTTTATAAAGGAAAACATTTAATTGGGTGACAGTTCAGAGCTTTAGTTCACTATCTACTGTCATGGCAGGGAGCATGGTGGCAGGCAGATAAACATGGTGCTGGAGAAGGAACTGAGAGTTCTTCATCTTGATCCACAGGCAACAGGAACTGAACTGAGACACTGGGCATACCATGAGCATGGGAGACCTCAAAGGCCACCCCCACAGTGACACACTTCCTGCAACAAGACCTCTACACCAGTAAAGCCACACCTCCTAATAGCACCACTCCTCATGATCTTATGGTGGCCATTTTCTTTCAAACCATCATAGGAGGGGAGGTAGAAGCAGGAAGATTTATATCTCAAAGTTATTTCCCTTGGCTGCAAAGCATGCACAAGACAAGCCTGCCATAAATGAGACCTTGTCTTAAGAAACAAACAAAAGAGAATGGTTTTGTGTTGTAAGCCTGTTTTGTTTTGTTTTAGCGTGGGTGAGAGTTTCCCAAGAATGTTCTACTGATCGAACAGGTTTCCATGGTTGTGAGCAGAGTGAGTTTTCACTGTCATCCTAAGATAAAACCCCTACTCCCTTCCTAGACTAAGAATTTCAATTCATGATGCCCATAAGAATGCTGTGAACAACGGGAAGCTCTGTACAGCACAGGAAAGCAAGTGCCATGTGTTCTTATTTGCATGTGGAAATATTAGAGAGTCTCAGGGCACTGGAGGATGAGAAGTGTGTGCGAGTATGGGAACAAATGGTTAGTAAAGGGTGTAGGAATACAGTTGAGTAGGGAAAATGACTCTGTGTGTTCTATGTAGAATGGTAAGATTATTGACTAACAAGAGTAAATCAAATAATCCCAAATGGCCAGTACAGAGGAATTTTAATGTTCTTAACACAGAGAAATCTTTGTAGGGAATAGATAACCCAATTACCCTGATCCTGTCTTTATTTGGCATTATAAATGCACTGGAATGCCTACCAGTAGTGTGCATAGTTACTGTGTCAGTTTAAAAGTTATTATGAAAAAAAGAATTTGAATTTAATTTGAATGTATGCCCCATTTCCTCAGAAGTCAGTGGTGGATGAGGAAAATTAGTATGTGCCCCCATTCTGCCCATAGCGGACACAGCCTGGGATAGAACTGAAACCATAGGTGCTGTGGGTCCAAAATGAAATTTCATAGCTGAGTCTTAACACTCGCCCTTCTCTCTGACACAGCAGTGAATACCAGTAAAACCTTGATTTGACAGTTCAGCATTGACTTGTTGGCCCCATCTTTCCCCCACTTTTTCCATTTCAGGGGACTCTGGTTCTGAGGGATTGGGAAAAATGTAGCAGAACGATACTTGTCTCTGAGCCTGAGAAGTCAAAGTCTTCAGAACGGATGTGGCCTGACCTACTAATCCAGTGGCGGATGGATGTGTACTCACAGATGGGTATCATATCTCGCTATGATGACTCTGCTCACTAATGACAGGAGGCCCAGGACTTGATCTCCAGCTAATCCGATTAGTAATTCCCATGTAGAAAGACTGAAGAGAGGGCTATATGAAGTGTCTGGAATTACAAGTGAAAGTATTCTGCCATAGACCACGGCTGAAGCGTGGAGACAGGGTTAAAAGTGTTCTGCTTCCCCAATGTCAGACAGTGTGCACTTGCTGCTCCACAAATGCCTATCGTTAAGGCATTGATTTCAATGGTGGCTCCTTCACTTGGGTTGCCATGGTGACGAGAGAGTGAGGATCAAGTGACAGCACAAAGAGAAATTCAGTGTCATTCAGAAATCCAGCAAGAGGAAGTAACAAAATTTCCTCTCTCCTCGGAGCCATGCTTGCCAGGGCTCCCATGTCAAATAAGGGCTAGGGAGGGGGTCTTTGGGCTCAGTAATTTATCTCAGTCCTGCTTGGATTGTTGCCAGTGTGCTAGAATAGGAGGACACAGCCCTGGAACTGACTGTCAAGCCTACGTTCTCTGCCCCTGAGTCATGTCAAGTGACGCTGAGAGCTTTGAGTTATTTATTGTCACTCCTCTTTCCCCCAGTGCCTGTGAAGAGATGCTGCCACTGGGAGCCATGCCGATGACACACATCAGCACTGCACAATCCTTGCACGTACTAGAGACAAGTTGCCCTTCTGAGACCCAGTGCTTAGTTCTAACAGGAGATGGGAGGCAGCTCCAAGCTGGCTGTGAGCACAGTGTTCAGCTGAGGAGCTAATGTTCGTATCGCTTCACAACTGTCTTCTAGTCTTTGACCGGATTCTTGGCATGGGTTTAAGATGTGGTTATGTTTGGTCGCCTGGCCTAGCAACATGCTGCCGTTTCTTTTATGTGAAGATGTCTAGTTTGACAATTCATCTGGAATACAACTTCAGCCTCTGTAGAAGCAGGAAACTGCGTATCAGAGTACAATGATGTGACATTCAAGACTCAGTCATGTCCTGGGGTACAAGTGCCTCATCCTTGGACTGAACTCAGGGCCATGAGTGACTGAAAGGGCTGGGGGGAAGCGCTGAGCTTGACATGAAGGCTCTGGGTGCTGGTCCTGACTCCTGTGCAGCCGTGACTGCAGCATTTCCGTTCTTACCACAGTCCGTTTCTTTAGTGAGTATGGAAAGGACCACAGGACAGGACGGATGCAAACTTACTCTAAAATACAGAAAGAGATGAGGGCCTGTGTGAGGCAATATTAACGTCTGCAAGAGAAAGTAGATGTGCTGTTGGGAATCTTAAAAACATGCACGGAGAAAATCAAGTCTGCTAGCCTGTCTGGCCCACAAGTACTAAAACAAGCATCTTAAATTTTCACTCATAACCCCTTTTCACTCTACAAAATTTTGCACAACCCTGGGTATGCAAATATATAAAATTGTTATACACATCAAACATTTACCTGTAGTAAATCATAAAGATTTATTGTGTTTTAATCCTCACACATTTACCCATAATAAAACATAAAGATTTGTTGTTGTTTTATTCTTTGGCATATATGTAATTTTACCATTTGTTAAAGATAAAAGCAGGGCTGGATTATTGGGTATGACTCAGGTGGTAAAATATTTGCTGTGCAAACCTGATGACTTGAGTTTGAGACCAAGATCCCATGATGGAGGAGAGAATTGACTGTGAAAAGTTATCCTCTGAACTCCGCATGAGCACCATGTTATACTCACTCCCACAGGCAGGCATCGTGTGAGCGCACAAGAGCAGCAACAATAACAAATATGAAAACAGACGCGCTTGCAGGTGAGAGAGATGTGCCTGTCTCTTTCTACACACAAAAAATGAAACCTTGGCACAATAGTTGATCCTGTAGGCTGTAGAGCATCTTTCACAATTTCCAGAGGTAGCGGACAGATTTGGATCTCGTAATTGTCCGTGCTGAGCATGCCACTTCACCTACGTATGTAGTACAAAATGGTAAGAGCATGTTTTAGAACCATTGCGGAAATTGTTGGAGATGCTGCATTCATTCCAAGCCAAAGTTCATTTGATGATTGCTTTACTGAAGCTCACATAGGCAACACCAGGAGCAAATTTTAAAATCAAACATTCTAATACAATTCAAAAAAAGTGCTAATTTGATGCAGGCTGAGAAATGATGGGAAAAGAAACTGGTGAACAGAGAGCTCTTTCTGGATAGTTGAAGCACTGCAATTTATAAATGCAGTAATCTTGAATCTGACTCAAGGCACTTCGGACAGCATCGATTGGCACTGCATGGTGTGACAGACAGTGCAGTGCCAAGTGTGAGTGTCATGTGTTTAGCAAGAAAGCTGCAGTGACATAAACAGTGCTCCATTTGAGCACTGCACAAAACGACTCAGCCTCGTGCCGTATCTGATTGGGAAGTGATTGTTCATTTCTTTGATTTAAATTTTTACGCAATATATTTTAATCATGTTTTCCCCTCCTCCTCCAATGCCTCCACGATCTTCCCCTCCCAACCACCTAACTTGTTGTTGTTCTCTGTCCTCTCTCTCTGTCTGTCTGTCTCTGTTTCTCTTTGTCTCTCTATCTCCTCTCTCTCTTTCTCTCTCAAAAAAAGAACAAAAAGAAACCAAATAATACAAAACATGTCCAAACAAGGAATTCACACACAAACACACACACACACACACACACACACACACACACACACACACACACACAAAACTACAGCCACAAATACCGCAAACATGGAGTTCCTTTTGGATTGACCATGGGACCTGCCATGGAGTGTGGTTGATATACCCAGTGATTCTCTGCTGGGTGAAAACTGCCTTGTGATATTATGTGTTAATATATGCATTCAGAAAACGTTTATTGTCGCCAAATTTTTCTACCCTCTGATTCAGTTACATAACCCCACACAAGGTCAGGACCCACAGTTTAAGAAGCTATGTCTTACACCATTTTGACAGTGTGTCCATGTGTATATATGTGTACATGTGCACATAATGTGTGCATGCCTAAAAGTAAGGAAGGTGGAAGGGACGGAAGAAGGAAAAGAGGAAGGAAAGAGAAGGGGAGGGAGGGAAACCAAGCCTTAAGAATTAATGTTCTGGTGACTGCTTACTAGAGAAGAGTATTGCTACTGAAATTCGGTTAAATGCCACAGCCCATCCCCATAACAACCAGGCACTAAAAATTGCCACCTAGGTATAGTGTCACCTTCCCATAGTCTCAGTTATTTAAGGTGTCTGAGGTAGAAGGATAGCTTAAATTAAGAAGACCAAGTCCAGCAAGACTCCCAAGAACAACAAAACAGCATGCATGAGGTGACTCGCGCTTGTAGGTTTTGTTGACGTTTAGTGGGTGATGCATTTTTGTATCAAACCCCATGGGAACCCTTTCTACTTGCATTCTGCATTTTAAGCTGTACTGAATCCATGGACATCAAAAAATTGCAGAACTTGCCAATAGGTTACCCTTTTATGTTGTCTTTGAGCAGTTGTCCTATTGAACTATTGGGAATGATTTTTGTCAATATTAATGGTTTTGTCCTAGTCTCAAGTGGCAATTTCTTAGGATGTTGTGTAAGCCATTCTTTTACATGGAGACATTTTAAGTGATACTTTTCCTTTTATATTATTTTCTTCAACTTTCATATATACCTTCTTCAAACAAGATTTATGAATGTGTTTCCTATGTTTTTATTGTTGCAGACAGCTTGAAGATGTCAGCTTTTTTCGTTTACTGAGAAAATACATTTTCATTACAATCATAGTAAAAGCAAGTTAAAGCTCTAAAACTGTAGGTTTGGAGCTCAACCACAAGAGGGCGCTGTGTCTCTTTCTGGTAATGGACACCAGTTGAGCCCGGAGTGCAGGGCCGGCTGTTCACATCTTGTGATTCCAGTTCCTTGTAGGGTTGTCTCTCAGTCTTTTAAAATCTACATTTCCCCTCGGGCTTCAGGTATCACCTATGACAGGTATAGGTGACAGTTTACAGACTTTTTTCCTGTAGTCTGTGGGAGGCAGCTTGCCTGCAGGGCTCTCAGGACTTCTCGGGGAATGGAGTTAGAAGTCATGACTGCATTGCACTGTCACAGGTCTCCAGCTGTCTCACTGCGTGACTATTGGCTGGGTGACTCCACTTCTCTGAGTCAAATGCACGCGTGCATCGCACACTCTGCCCGGCTTTGGTGAGGCGCTTTCCGAGCAGAGTGGGAAGGCAGGATGGAAATCACTACACTTGTCATCTAGGGAGAACTCCACAGTCGGTAGTTCTGCGTGGCTTCCCAACCCAGCTGGAACATGGTCTGGGAAGCTGAAGCCTGACCCACTGTCAACCAGCATAGCCCTCGGTGGTGACAATCCCCCCTCATCTCTTATCAGCACCCTGCCTCTGGTAACACTGTACCTATAGCTAGGATTCTAAGCGCTTGCTTCTCTCTGCCAGCACCAGACCCCAGAAAGGCCGCCTTCTGTGACTCCTTTCAGTGGCCTTCAGCTTTTCCTGGCTACTGGCCGAGAGTTCTTCATATCCTCTGACTCACTTCCCTCCAGGCAGCACCTAAACATTCTCTTCTTGGCTCTCACACAGAACTAAATGTTTGCCAAGCCCTGTTCATTTCTCCTCCTCACCGTCTAGGGCTTCAGACCTGAGGGCCCCAAATCCTACTTCTAGCACTTCCCATCACTGTAACCACGAGCGGATGCTGTCATTTCCCAAGGCTTTGCTTGGTCATTTACTATAAGGATAACTGTGAGCAGACTCCTTGCTATCCAGAACCTCTGTTTCCTCATTTATAAAATAAGGATGATATACTCGGGATGTTGTAAGGGCTAAAGGAGACTCATATGAAGACCTTACAAGTACCCAGGTTATTGGTTCTTATAAAACCATTGTAAGCCTTAGCTTCCCTAAGTACCATCCCTCAGGGCTGTATGAAAGTTTCATGTCAAGTCTCCAGACCTGCTGCTTAGCAATGCGCTTCGAGAATTATCTGTGGTCCTGCCACTCCTCCCAGCCATTCTCCCGCCTGTGCCCTTCGGGATGCCACTGAGGAGGAAGAGGCAACTACCCACACACCTCAACTGCGGCTAGAGCCAACAGTTCGTCCTATTTTCTTCCCAGTCTCTGGTAGCAAAATTTTGGGTCTTGAGGCTGGAAAGATTGCTCAGTGGTTAATGGCACTGGCTGTTCTTCTAAAGGATCAGAGTTTGATTCCCTGCACATATGGTGACTGGCAACTGTCTGTAAGTTCAGTTCCAGGGGATCTGATATCCTCTTCAGGACTCTTCGGGCACTGCATTTGCATGGTGCATTGATATAAAGGCAGATACAACTCCATACATATTAAATTTTAAAAATTGTTGGGTTTCTTTTACATAATATATATTTTGATCATAATCTTTCCCACTCCCAACTCCTCCCAGATCTTCCCCACCTCTCTATTTTTTTTACATCTCCTCATGCACATTTTTTTAACATGGCACCCTTACTTTATTGTTTTGATCTCTCTAGACCCTGGCATTTGTTGTATGGATGCCTATGTTTCAAGGCCCAGCTCAAATACAGCCGCACCTTCAATAAATGTTGTTATCACGTAGGGAACAATCGATGCTGGAGTGATATTAGATGAAGTACGAAGGGTGGGACAAGTAGGAGGAACTGGGTTTTGTGCAGATCTTTTCTCCTGAATCTACACAGTGAGTGCCATTAGAGTTGTTATAAGGCAGGGCTCACTGGCACTACCTAGTTAGAACAGAAAGTTCCAAACACTAAGCAACTGTGCCGGGGGCGGAGGATTGGGAGCCATTTCAGGACACGAGACTGAGAGGGACATGAGACGAAATGCCAGTCCAGTAAACAGCATGTGAGCACTAAGGGGGGAGGCGAGGGAGAAGCGCTCCCTCTGAGTTGGGAATTACTATTCCATGGAGTTTAGGGTCTTTAAGCCCATGAGGATTTAAGGATTTGTAATTCTATGCTATATAATACTTTAAAGGCAAGGATATTGGGATTCCAAGGATTTTAAATCCCTATAACCTATGGTAGAAGAAGAACTCGAGCAATTTATGAGCTTTGCAATGCTAGGAGATTAGGACTCAAAACAAGGGTTTAAAACGGAACATTGGACATGTTAAATTACTAATTAATCCTCCTTGGGTTTCAAATCATTCTTGACTTAACCCTTGGAACAGTGTTTCCAAATTGTCTCCCCCATGATCTGGGGATCCTTGAAGGTATTTCATGAGAGAAAATGAAAGAGCCAGCTTAAAAAATATAATACAACACGGTGCGGGGGGGGGGGGGGTGATGAAGGGGGAATGGGGTCTGCACCCACCCCACTCTACCACCTCACCTCACAGCTTGATTTTTGGTTTCCCTGGGGCAGCTCCATTTCTATCTGATTTACATGTTAGTCCTTTGCATTCAATTCAGAAGAAAGGGTTTCTTGCCAAAGGCTGCTAAGTTTTAAAACCCCTGTCCCAGGATAAAGGAACCTCAAATCTAGTGACCACTTGAATGTAGAGAGGTTCCAAAAGCCCCAACAGACTTTTCTTGTGTCTTAATTGTTTATAAACACTGCCAGCTTTGCTTTGACTGATAAGCCATCAAATGATGACAAAGATTAACCAAAGAGGCCTGGGACATACTCATTAGTTAAATAGATCAGACACCATCACATCAGTCTGGAAACAGACACCTTTTAACTATCAACAGTTCCTAGTCCAGGCACTCACTTTCCTGCGAGTCCTGCTGTCTTGTGAGGAGTCATCCTATGTGTCTTATGCGTCAGGGCCTGTGCTCTTTTCTTTATTCCATCTCACTGAATCGGCACAGCCTCACTGACAGCAACTGTCACCCCTCACTTCATGGCCTGGATTAAGAGAATGGAGCTCAGGGTGGATAAGTAACTCACCCAAGGTGGTGCATCTGGCTTCTGGGAGATTCCACTTCACTTACCAGACGGCATCGAATGGCCTGAAGGAATTAGAGTGGTCAAAGTTCAGTTGCCTGAGAGTCTTCTTCCAAGACCAAGGTACAATTTTAACCGATAGATGGCAGCAGTGTGTGAGCTTGGTGGCCTACTCCAGACTATCCATCTCATCTAGGGAATTCCCAGGTTGAGAGAGAAGGGAGAGGAGGGAAGTCACCATTTTGTTTTGCATCAAGATGCCATTTGCATGCCCTTCCATGGTTGAGGAAAGATTCGAGAAAGTGGGTGAGTGGATCCACAGTGCTTCTCCTGAGAGCTGCTTTGAGAACACCTGGGCAATTTTCCGAGCCATCGTTTTTGGTGTGTGTGTGTGTGAGGGGTGCTAGGCCACCAAGTTGCGTGGGATATCAAACACAGGTTCCAGCAAAGGGAAGGATTAGACAGGTACTGTCATAGATGAGGCAGTGGGTATGTGAGGTTACCAATCCTGACCTTGGGGTTCTGGAGACACTCCCTACAAAGAGGTAACATAGGGTACTTCTATTGAATGAACGAGAGTTTCAAAGGCTGAGAAGAGTGGAAAGCCATAGCAGGCAGGAGTTTAAAGCCACAGAAGAGTTAGAAAGTATGCTACACTCAAGGGCAAGCAAAACAAATTTTAAGGGCAGAGAGATGAGTCTGAAAAGACAGGCAGAAATTACATGATCAGCACCGGTCATTTGGGGCATACACCTATAATCCCAGCAGTGGAGAGTTAAGATGGGGGGACTGCTGTAAGTTTGTAGCCAACATGAGCTAGGATACATACCAAGACCTTGTCTTTAAAAAAAAAAAGCCAAACACAAAATCAGATGACTAAAGAATCCAGACTCCCACAGTAAAGACTTGATTTGTGAATGTATAGTGTTGGATGTGTGGCATGAGTTTTTTGGGGGGTAATAAGTCTGGCTGTTGGTGAAGCAAGTCCATGACCTGATTTGGTGGCCCGTGTGCAGATAGATTGTGAAACAATATGCTGGAAGTGAGAAAATTCGTTGAAGACTAATTGGGACAGGAGTAACATGAAGGCCTGAGCTATGGTAGATACTAAGGGAACCAAACAGATACAATTGACAAGATGTGGTGAGTGCCCAAGTGTTCCTCCTTATATGTGACAACAGCCCCCAAGTACTAAGTGAGAAAATCCATCTCACCTTTACCTCAGTCCTCATCCTCTACCCATAATTCTCGAGCTGTCCCATGGCGGGGGTGGGAGGGTGGGGGGGGGGGGTGGGAAGGAGTCGGGGTTGAGGGGTGGGGGTGCTTTTTCCTTTCTTTTCTGAGCTGTCCTTGACGTTTAGTCAAGCCTGACTCCACAAGTGAACAGAGACAGCCTGGCATGAGGCTTTCTCTCCAGGATTACGTTCTCAGAGGAGAAAACTCTGTCAGCTGACCTCAGGTAGAAGTAGAGCAACAAACTGACCTCCTTCTATGGCTTCACAACACGGGCAGAGTTCAGTTAAGAAATCAGCGCAATTCCCAGAAAAAGGCAAACATCATTCCATTTATTTTTCTCCTGATTTATCTTCTGCCAATACCCAGAACTGAATGAATAGCAGGCAAAGTGGATGCAGATCCCCAGACAAGCAGATTCTCAAGATGCCCACGTGTGTTCCATCCCTTCCCCTTCCCTTCCCTTCCCTGGAAGTGCCCCAGTATTGCTTGGGTCTGGTGTTGGTGTTTCGGGAGAGGAAGCTGGAGGTCAGCCTTTCTCCCCTGGAGACTGGCTCATATGGCTACCTTCGAAAACTGGGGGATCAAAGGGCCCTGGGGAGTGACTGGTCTCTTGTCCAAGGGCATCCCCTGCCCTGCTCTACTTCCCAAGGGCTTCAGAAATCAAGGCTTCCTGATTCCCTTCCAGGTCTTAGGAACCGCCTCCTGTTGGCACAAGAGCAGCCCAGACAAGAACATGCCAGAGGCCTAGACTCGCAGGCCCATTAGGAGAACCACGGTGAGCTAGACAGCCCGAGGACACTGGTTCCAGTCCAGAAAATCTGTGTCTGGAGACTCTTAGCTAATCGATGTCCTTGGAAATCTGCCAAGTGTAAGTGGGACTGCTTCAGTTTGGACAGGTCATGGGTGGCTCAGGGGAATGAGATGTGGCCTTGTGTGCTGTGGCCTCTGGTACCCTCGCACCCTTTTCTGACCCTATTTCATTGACCTCTTCCTCTTCATCCTCCTCCTTGTCTTCCTCATCCTCTTCGCTGTCAGAATCCTCATATAAGTTGATGGTGGCCTGGACAGGGAAATTCTGTAGTAATATCTCCCCAGCACTGTACAGGTAGTCAAAGGAACGGGATTTAGGCCAGAAGAGTCTGCAGACAAAGCAGAAACAGGGTCCCTAACTTAGGCAACTCTCAATGTAGAGGGACTAATAGGGCCAGGAAGGAAGCAGATCCTTAGAACTGGTTGCTAGCTGCAGGAAAGGTCTGAGAGGGAAAGGAAGAAACAGCTTTGGTGCAGAGCCTTTGTGATTGTTACAAAAATGGTTCCAGGAAGGAACATCACCTCTGACGGGCCTATGGCTGTGATAGAGGGTGAGTCACCCCAGCGTCTTTCAGTGCTAACGCTGATACCACTAACGACTCCATCATCCCAGCCCTTCCTTTTCTACTGAGGATTCTATCATTGGTGGGTTCACAGGATTCCATCCTTAGGGCTCAGTGACAGGGAAGGCCTCTGCGGAAAGTCAAAGTCACTTTGGCCTACTAAGTCCCATGGCCTCTTTCCACCTGTGTCATGAGCTTGTCATGAGCATACATAGTGCTCATGGCTGTTTGTCACATTCTGAACTTGAACACCAGAGGCTTACCTGACAGGGTGATGGAACTCAGACTCAGCCTTGGTGGCCTCAGCAGCTGTTGCCCCACCAGCAGCCTGTCAAAAGCAAAAGCTAGCATGTGGCTTAACTGCCTCTCCCAAATCAAGGGTCAGAGATCTGCAGGCTCTGACGATCTTCAAAAGACTCTAGGCATCTCTGAGATCCAGCCACCTCCCAGCCCTGCCCTACAGCAAGGGGCCTGTCTTGGATCTGGTTAAAAAACAAGTAGTAAGAGTCATGGGGGTTGTTTTCTTCCCTGACCGTGTTCCAGTGCCTGTTTGGAGACTCTCCAGAGGACAAAACATTCCCGGAGCGAAGCAGGAGAGCACTGGGACAAGGTATCAGGAGACCTGGATTCCAGCAGCAGCTCTACCACACTCTACGAGTCCAGCCCTGGTCCCTTACCCACTCTAAGCTTTCATCTCCAGTCTCATTTGTCATGGAAACCTTAGCCCTGCCTTCCAACCAGAGCTGCTGTGGGGATAAAATGCGACCAAAGTTGGCAAGATGCAGCCCCAGATCGGCAGCCTTGGACTGGAGTCAAGGGATGTCTGAGAAGGGACATGGCTGTCAGTGCCTGTGCAAACATGTCACAGGGTCTCCAACTCGCCCAGTCCACCAACATCCTCACCTGCCTTGGGCGATCATTTATGGAGGATAGCCAGGGTCTCCAAAGACAAGTTTCTCTAGGGCAAACAGAAAAGAGCAATTGGTGGAGGAAGAGACCTAAACATAGGCCTCTTCTAATCACAGAAGCGTGGTGGAGGAAGAGACCTAAACATAGGCCTCTTCTAATCACAGAAGCGGTCTCCTAAAAGCTTGGCTCACGAGCCATCTGACCACTGAACCAAGGCTGTGACAGATACCCCTGGTCTCTACTCCAACAATGTTATCACTGCTATTATTTCCCTGCTTTGTGATTGTCTGTCTGAGCCACTTAAGCAAAGGAGACATATTCGCTCATCTGAACCCTCAACCCCTAGTACTATGCCTTGTACACAGGAGGGGCTTAACTGTTGAATGTGAATGTGAAGTATGTGGAGGAGAGAATGCCTGTTATATAGGGAGTATCTTGCTGCCTACCTCCTGCTTCAAGTAGTAGAGAACAGAATTCTGCCATTTGCCTAGCTGGAGAACAGGCCCAGAGTACTCCTAGGCCCATTGCTTCTCCTCTAGACTTCTTCTAATGGCAAGGAAAAGCAAATAGGAAACTCGTGGTGGCGTGCTCAGGACAGAGGTAGCACTTCAACCAAAGGCCTCTTTAGACTTTGTCCCATTCACCCTATGTCACCTGCCACCATCTAGGTCCCATAGTCCAGGTTGCATTAAGCCCGAATTCCATGGCAACTTCTCCCGTTCCCTCAGGAATTGGACAGACTAGCCCATGAGAGTTAGGCTACTTGGCTTTCAGCTTTGGCAATGCTCACTGTCTCTCAGCCCACTCTTGTCACCTGGAGTGATGAGTGAGGTAAAATATTCCAGTCAAAGGTATCGAGTGAGGTCTGAGACGCTCGTCTCCCTCCTTCAAAGAGAACAGGGCCACCACCCGCATGGGCATCTCACCATCTCCCACCTTCATTTCCCCGAGGCCAGGCTGTCAAGGGCCAAGTTTCACTTACCTTCCACTTCCAGAAACTTCTTGTCCATTGTTTTGTGCTACAGCAGGAGCTTGGGCCAGGGCCAGGCCAGGGGGAGCAGCAGCAGGAGCAGGGTCCATCCTTGGGACACCGAGTCAGATGGCTGTGGGCTGTTCCAGTCCTCAGAACCTTCAGCACTCTTTCGGCTTTTCCCCCAGAGACCCTTTTATAAGCCCTGCCTTGACTCATCAATTATTCAGGCAGTGCAGGGGTGGCGGAATGTGGGATGGTTGTGAAGGTTTAGGGAGGGGGCTCCTGGAGAGACAGCTATGTTCTTGGGTGTGAAATCTCTCCCAGTTGAATAAACAGGGTCCCGTGGAGGCAAGGGGTCTGCTGTAGCTCCAACTCAGAAAGGAAAACAAAGCAGGGGGCAAATTTCACGCCATTTGTGTGAACTCCCCAGGCACTACCAAGGCCAAAGGTGGGAAGGAGTGGAGCTCATTAGCACACAAGGCACCCATGTTTGTCTGGGCCAGAGGGCTGGGTACATGGACCTCTAGCAAAGCTGCTTCCCAGTGAGAAAAGGAGGCTGCCAGCTCTGAGGAGAGAGAGGAACTCACCAGGTATTTCAGCTCAAATCCCAAGTAGATTTGCCAGGTGGACCTGATACAGGATCACTGCCATGAAGCCTGTCACGTGGCTTAGGATAAAGAGGGCTTCTGGGTGGCACAGGTCCAGTCTCTTGCAGGGGAAACCTCAAGACATCTTTCAATGCCTCCCCCCCCCCACCTCACTGCTCAGTTGCCTTGCAAAAGTGCCTAAAGCCCCCTCTGGCATCAGCAGAGAGTTGTGTGGTGTGGGGAGCAGGCCCAGGGAGTTTGCAGGGCAGATTCCAAATGGCACAGCTCAGCTTCTAGTTTAGGAGCCCAGGTGCTGGAGGCTGGGAGGGCTCTGCCCAGCACTGTGCTGCCAAAGGACCATAGGAGGCCTCCGTCCTCTCACGTGAGATGAGGGTGCTGGCCTAGGGGTCCCCAGGGCCCTGCCAGCCTGAACACTCTGTGACAAGAGCTGGGTAATGGGCACCGACCCCAGCAAGCCAAACGGTCTGAGCAGAGCGCTTGGTATTAGCCACCTTCTGGGCCTTGGCCAAAAAGCTTCCAGTTACAACAACTGGCAGGCACTTCATGCTTAGAGGGTTCAAAAATATTCCTCCTGACCTCAGTGGCCAGCACCTGCCTAGATTTAGTGTCTTGGATGTTCATCACAGCCTGGTTTGTAATGTTCAAAAATTAGAAACCGCCTCAGTGTCCAATAATAGGAAACCCGTTAGTTTTACTAATCGTGGACAATTCATGTAATCGCATACTGAGCAGTCAGATTCATCGTATCAGTGAAGAAAACTGTAAAGCTAGATGTTAAAGAGTGTGACGCACTTGATTCAAGGGCTCCCTATGTAGCTCCCGCCTCTCAGCACTCTGCTTGAATTTGAGCCTCACTGTGATCCGTACTGCAAAGAAAATAAAAAGTAAAGACAGAGCTGGTGATACGGCTCAGTGATGGAGCACGGCCATAGCGGGGTTTGACCCCTAGCATCAGAAAAAAAAAGAAAAGGAAGAAAACAACTTCATGTTTAAAATGTTCCAGTGAAAGAATGCACAAACAGCCTATGTATTCAAGAGCGAAACGCCTCAGTTTCGAAAATGTCACTAAGGACGATTCCATTTTGATAATGGATGTGGAATGTACAGTATGCACAGAAAAAAATGGGCTGGTTAGAAGAAAAGATGTTGCAATTGTCAGCTCAGGGGGTTAGAGAGTAAGGTGAAGCGTCACTTCCTTCTTTGTGATTTTTTTGAAACGATTTCCACAACTGAACTGATGTTGTCTGATGAACAAAAAATAAGAATAAAGATACGAAGTTGCGTGGGTACGGATGGGGAGTATGTCTAGAAAGGGAGAAGTAGGATGCAGGAAATTCTCAATATATGGATGTCTATACGTTTTAACAGATGATTAAATTGTATGTATTTTTAAAAATATAGACAAAGGAAAACCCTTTATCTGTGAAGCAGAGAAAAGTCTTGGAGAGACAGCAGTCATTTTGAAACACCCGAGGATTCGACTGCAATGAATTCTGCTTGTTCTGTACGACCTCAAAGGGCAAGCTAGAGCAAGACCCAAGGGCGGAACCGCCAGGGAGACTCATTTTTGGCTCAATCAAAGGAAAAGCTTCTAACAGTACAACCACCTAAGGGTCTGACACTGTACCTGCTGTCCACAGACAGAGGCTTATTCTATGAGATGAAGTGAGTCCTGTGGAATGCACTACCTCGGTCTGGGCTGAGCGCTCTCATGCTGAATTGCGTGAAGTTGGAACTGGACTCTGTATCCTGAAGAGGGAGATCCTGTGCAAATTTGCTAAAAGGAAACACAAGGAACTGAGAGAAGGGAGCAAAGCCAAAAGGACTGGGCTAAAAAGAGGCAGCATGCAAAGCGGAGAGAGCTTAAGACATATTATCACATCCTGGAATCTTTTTGACCTCTAGGTGACCTCTGACCATAAGCAGGAGGTCAGAAGGAAAGGGGGAGGACACACATTTTTCTGGAGGTCCCAGGTCATGCCCAACCTGACTTAGTCATGTCATCCACCATGCCACCTTTGACCTTGAAATTGTATTCCTTCAGCCCGTCCCTTCCCTCTGCAATGCAGGCCTCATGGGGTTTCTTACACTCAGCTTCCAGCATGCTGTCCCAACTCTGAGGGAGCCTCCAGGCCTGTCTCCATGACTCTTAGTTCTCCCTGTACAACTGCTCTGCCTGCTGCCTCCTAAGACTCACCTCAGCATCACCCACCCACATTGTAGGATAAAGGCCTGTTGCTGAACCAAAGTATCAGAGTCTGCCTGTTCTGTCTTACTTAGTACGGAACAGGAATGAGGTGGTCAACATGATTGCAGGAAGGACCAAGATAAGCCAAACAGAACTTCTAATAAAGGCAATTATGATAACAACTAATTTCTCTATCAATTATATTGTGCAGGGTTTATCAGCGATCGTTTTCCTTGACTTTTCTGTGAGGAGTAGGTGCATTCTCTGGGCCAGACACTTTGTTAGGCATTGCTTGGCAAGGAGACCGGATAGAAAGAGGAGGATGTTGTGTTGAGGCTCACAGCTTGGAGGGTGGAGAAAGACAGTCTTAATTAGCCTCTGCCAAACCGGAACCCCTCCAGCAACCTCAGAGAGGTTCCCTTGTCAAGGCCCCAGAGCAGCCTCCACGTTTCTCTGGGCCTCATTCCAAATTTCCTTCAGTTCCCTACCATGTTCCTGCCGCACCCTTCTCCCTGCTCAGAACAACCTCTCCTCCTACTTCCCTGAGAAAACAGAGGCCTTCAAGCATGGATTACCTCAGTGCCCTGCCCCAACCCCCAAAACTGGCTTGCCTCTCCAACGTCTTTCCCACCCTCCACCCTCCCTTAACAAGGGACAAGGTGCCCCTTTCGTTAAAGGTTAATCCCTTCTCTCCTGGGCCATGGCCTCATCCACCCTCCTCTGGGCCCTCTCTCCAAGGCAGTATCCTCTTTCCCTTCAGGAAAAGCCAACTTCCCTACACCAGAGTATAAAAGGCCTGCTTCTGTGACTCCCTAAAACAAGCACCCTCCCTCCTCACACTTTTTCTCTTATTCCCCTAGTCTGCTCTCCCTCAGTTTCTTTCTCTTCCTGCCTCCTTCCCACTTTCTTTTCTTCCATTCTTTCTCAAGTATGTTGAAAGTAGAGCCTAACTTCTAGACTTAAATTTTCCTCAGCTTCCCATTCACACCTCAGCCAAAGGCAATTTGGCTCTAGTCCCATCATCCCAGTGAGAGCATACTGACAAAGGTCACCAATGACCTCCTAATTGCCAAATTCGATGAACTCTGAACTGTAGCTCCTTTTTCTGGTCCATCCCTTACTAGGCAATGTCCAGCAACAGGCACTCTTGGCCAAGCAAATCCATCTTCCTCTTTTGGCCTCCATGATCACCTGCCCCTTTCTCTCACTCCTTCTCTCCCTCTGCCCCTTCCTCTCTGCCATCTCTCTCCCAGAAACTAAACCTCATAGTCTCTTTTTACTGTTTTGGATTTTTTTAGTCAGAGTCTCACTCTCAAAGCCCATACCATCCTGACACTCTGACTCCTCTGCTTCTACTGCCTGTTGAGATTACAGGCGTGCTCTACCAGGCCTGGCTCAGTCTTTGAAGCTGACTGCTCTTCCTCTGCTCGTTTCTGCACTCAGTGGTCCTCAGATCCCCATGGTACAGTGATGTTTTCAGTGGGTCACAGCAGAATTGACTGGTAGACACTTCACTAGGACAATTTCTCAACAGTTTAAATTTATTGAATTCTAAACAACTGTCCTTCATTCTAAGAGTCTATCCTTCCTGGTTTGTGGTGATTAAATGATCTCTTTTTCAAAGTGAAGGTAATAGTGAATGCTAGCTTATTTCCTTAATGTTCCCACTTGACAAAATGAAACATTAGTTTCTTAGCGTTGACTTCATAAATATTTATAGAATGAGTGAAAGAATGAGAGCTGTATTTCCAGCCTGGAATTTTCCCAATGGGCATCTAAAATTCACTCCAAAGTTGAACAATTCTTCTCCCTCAACAAGCCTCCTGTGTACCCACCTTACCGACAGCATCATATTGCGCCAGTCACTTGATCTAACACCCTCCACCTCTGTGTTTAGTTCTTTGATATCCTTCGTTTTTGTCTCCCCCAGCATGTCCAGGCTCCCTCTATCTACTCTCACCTGAATGTTGGGTTGTTATAAAAGTGGCTGTGCTTTTTGCATTGTTGAGATTTTCTATTTGATATTACATTAATACATCTATTTTTTTGAGACAGGGTTTTTTGTTTGTTTGTTTGTTTTTTCGAGACAGGGCTTCTCTGTATTGTTTTGGAGGATGTCCTGAAACTGGCTCTGTAGACCAGGCTGGCCTTGAACTCACAGAGATCCAACTGCCTCTACCTCCCGAGTGCTGGGATTAAAGGTGTACGCCACCACTGCCTGGCTGACTACTGCATTCATAAATAAGTGCAGCTATGTTAAATATCATTTTAATGTCCATTCTTGCTTTATGTCTTTTTGTCGATGACTTACTACTTGTTATTTTTTTTCTATTTTTGAGCCAGGGTTTCTTTGTATAGCTTTGGGTATCCTGAAACTCACGATATAGGCCAGGCTGGCCTCAAACTCACAAAGATCCATCTACCTCTGCCTGTTAAGTGCTGGGATGAAAGACATGTGTCGCCATGACTGGCTGTTTGTTTATTTTTATTAAGGTTTATTTATTTTTATTTTATGCATATGGATATGTTGCCTGCATGTCAATATGTGGGTCACATGCATGCAGTGCCCAGGAGGCCAGAAGAGGGCACTGGATTCCTGGGAACTGAAGTTACAGATGGTTGCAAGCTGTCACATGGGCACTGGGGATTGAACCTGGGTCTTCTGGAAGAACAGTCAGTACTCTTCCCCTGAGCCATCTCTATAGGGCCTTCCCTTGGTGCTTGTTTTATACTGTGGATATAGACAAAAAGGGAATTCTAGCGATTTTTCTTACCCAATGTCAAAATGATTGTAATGCAGCAAAGACAATTCATAACATTATGAACACATTTAGCCCAGAAATATACACTGCAGTGGTAGTTCAAGAACTTTTACAGAGAGCAGACCAGAGCTTTGAGGATGAGGAGCATGGTGATTGGCTACCAGAAGTGGCCAACAACCAATCAGAGCTGATCCTTTTATAACTACAGTAAATATTTCCAAAGAATTCATCATGGACTATTTAATAGCCATTTAGAATGGGAAGCAAGTGGGAATAATGTAAAGAATCAGTAAGTGGATGCCCTGTGAGCTGTCTAAAAATATTTTTAAATCATCAGTTTAGACTATCATCCTCCCTTATTCTAGTCAACAGCAATGAACCATTTCTTAACTGGCTTTGTGACAGAAGGTGGTGGCAAACTGGTGACAATAATCTCAGTGGTTGGAGTGATAAATTGGAAAACACTCCCCAAAGCCAAACGTGTATCAAATACTGAGTCATGGGCACTCGGATGGTGTGATACCTGCCTGATGCAGGTCAACTTGCTGGCCCCCTAGTGAAGCCATTACATCTGAATAGTATGTTGAGCACGTTGATGGGATGAACCAAGAACCACACTTCGCGCAGCCGGTATTGTCAACAGAAAGGGCCCAATTCTCCACGATCCCTGATCTCACAAAGCACAATCAAAGCTTAAAGGGGATGTGTGTGGAGGAGAGTTAGTGGCCTGGGTGGGAGGGAGACCAAAAAAACATGTGAAGAGTGAGAGTAATCAGAATGCTTTGTATATGTGCATTAAATTATCACTGAATGAATTTAATTAATACAGAAAGAAAATGAAAAAAGTTGGACTTCTGAATCTTGCCTGTCTGTCATATTCATCTAACTTGTCAGCAACTGGCTGTCATATCCTCAAGCATCTAGACAACATTTTGCAGGGAAAACACTTCCCCAATCAGATCGATGCAGAAAATTCTTTCCAAGAGTTTGTCGAATCCTGAATCACAGACTTTTGTGCTACAGAAATAAACAAACTTACTTCTTGTTGGCAAAAATGACTTGATATTATGGTTTCCATTTTGATCCATGAAGACATGTTTGAGACTAGCTTTAAGCACATTTAAAACGCAGCATCTGAAACCACATGAAGCAACATTGCTTCCTGATTGTCCATGATTTAGCTTTGCCAATCTAGTGTCCTCCAAGGTACTCCAAATAATCTTTCTATAACAGTCCTGTGGATGGATCTTCCTCTGCTTAAAAACTTTTAGCCACACCCAGGTACGTCTGGGAAAAACAGAAATTGCTCTGTATGGCAGTCCCTTGTCACTGGAGCCAGCCTGCCTCTCCGGGCTCCTGCCTCTTTTGACTCTCTGCAGCTCCCGGTGACGATCGCCAATCCACAAATAGGCCATTCCTCTGGAATCACTTCACACTTGGCAGTCTATGAAAATCTGCCTCTCACTCTAGAGTGGACTGGAGAGTCTCCGGGTTATCCCTGTGTTTCTCAGACCTTGGGTCGTAACTCGTGGCAGGCTTCAAAATCAACTTGGTAGGCTGAGATCAGCACTTAACAAAATGAATAGCAAATGTAACCCCACTTGGGTGTGGTGGTGCACATTCTCATTATCAACACTCAAGAGGGATCTCTGTTTTAAGCCAGATTGGCTTAGATAGTGAGTTCCAGGACAGCTACATAGAGTGGCCATATCTCAAAAATATATAAAAAAGAATGAATCCCACTGCACAAGGATAAGCAGCATTATTCTGAGAAACTTATTTTACTCAGATGGATCAATAGATAGACAGACAGACAGACAGATTTGT